GTTAAATACAATGCTTATATATGGATTTAAACATGGAAATTAATAAATGTTGTGAGATTTTTGGAAAAAAACCTAGAAATAGTATTTTTAGATTTTGACCACGAAATTGGACATAGAATAGGAATAAATTATATATTTGAGCACGTGGGCCCGAAGGTTGACTTTATTGACTTTTCGAGCGGAGTTGGGAATTGTTATAAATTGATTAATTATGGGAAATAGAGTATATATTTATAGATTGGCACATTTGTTTGACTACTTTTGGAGAGACGGATATCGGTTTGAGGTGTTTGAGTGGCGTTGGAATCGGTTATGGAACTTCAGAGCGAGGTAAGTCTCCTGTCTAACTCTGTGAGGCGAAAACTACCCCTAGGTGATGTATTTGTTATGTGCTACTTGTTGCGGGGGCTACGTACGCACGGGGTGACGAGAGTCCGTACATAGCTAGATTCATGTTATGTCCGGGTAGACTTAGATTCCCGACATGCTATAATTGTACTATTTGAGTTGTCTCTTGCCTATTAAATTCCTTTATTTTAAATTGCGACTTGAGACTAGACTTGTGTAGAGTGATAGACTTGCTATTGCAGAGATTCGACAGGCTTCATGATTAGCCGCAAAATAATTATACTCCTCTTACGAATTTCTCCTGTGTTATGCGTTTTCATCGAAAGGTTTCCCATAAAATTTATAAATCACACGTCTATTCGCGAGTGGGGTCAAGGACCTGTTAAATCTTCTTATTCTAATGGGATCGGGTCATTCGCCTCGGCAGTATAATAGGTACAACTATGGTTCGTGTCGTTTGACCCTCGGCAGTGCGCACATTATGATGGGATCGGGACGTTCGTCTCGGCAGGATTATGTATCACACTCTCGTGGGAGCGGTCCGTTCGCCTCGGCAATATAATATATGTATCTATGGTTCATGTCGTTCGACCCTCGGAAGTGTACATATTATGACGGGATCGGGTCGTACACCTCGACATTTCTATAAAATACTCTTATGAATCGTGTGTAATAATTGACAAGAAACTAGTATATCTGTGACTTTTCCTGATTTGAACTGTGACGACATATCTAGTGAGGTCCATTGTATATATACTTCGATTGAGGAGGTAACTACTAGCTGAGAGCTTGAGTTATTGCTGAGAGGAGAATTGTACCACGTATTTATACTTGTTATTTATTTACTCTGACTCGCGTCTTTTTACTTCTACTGTATCTGTCATATTAGACCACTAGTAAGTGTCGATGTCGACCCCTCGTCACTACTTCTCTAGGGTTAGGCTAGATACTTATTGGGTACGCGTTGATTTACGTACTCATGCTACACTTGTTGCACTTATTGTGCAGGTACATATATGTCTGGTGGTCTTTTGGGAGCAATGGCGGCTATTACGGGGACTTCACCGTGAGCTGCATTCCATGTTATGATCCGCAGCCTGGAGAGTCTCCATCAGAGTTATTTATATTCTCCTATCTAATTTGTATTCCAGACAGATGTTGTATTTTATTATATTTTCTAGTTGATACTCATGCACTTGTGACACCGGATTTTGGGGGTTCTACGGGTTGTTCATTATTGTAGTTCGTGTAAATATTATAATTTACCTGTAAATTATATTTCATACTATTTAATTAATAAAAATTATGATGTCAAAGTAATAAAATGAGTAATTAAATTGATTAATTATCATTGACTTGTAGATGAAAGTTCATCAGATGGTGGAGATGCTGTAGAAAACACCCCTTGACCAATACTTTGATATACTTTGAACTAGACTAATAGAACTTATTTTGAATTAGAATGAACATTTTTGAACTTGTTATAATTACTTAGTCTTTGATTGATTTTGAATTGTGATATTTAATTGAACTTGTTAGTTTTAAAGTATTAATTGAATGTTTGGTTGAATATAGGTGTGGTTGGATTTGTGATGAACTAGGGGTTGTTTGTGGTGAATTGGGGTTGTTTGATGTGAATTGGGGGTTATTGGTATGCTGAAAATATACTTTTTTCTTTGGCAGGTGGTGTAGCTACCAAAACAGTCATTTTCTGCTAAACTTATTCTAAAAAACCAACCGACCTCGGTCGGTAATTAAAAAATAAATTGTAAAATACCGACCAACACTGGTCGGTTAGTGCACATTAATTCCTAGAAACTCAAAATTACCGACCAACATTGGTCGGTAAGTTTCCTGCCATGTTCAGATTACCGACCAACATTGGTTGGTAACGTTAAATTTTAATTATTTAAAAAAACTATTTTCTAACACCGACCAACGTTGATCGGTAATTAAAATATTATTTGATTAATTTATTTTTCTTTACCGACCAAAGTTGATTGGTCGGTAACCAAAATTATTAAATTTACCACACTGACCAGCGTTAGTCGGTAAAATTTAATTATTAATATAATATTCCGACAAATATTGGTCGGTTAGTCAATTAAATTTGTCAGATGGTCATTATAGTGACCGACCGAAGTTGGTCGGTAATTTCTGACTGACTTTGGTCGGTATGCTCTTCCAACCTTTAGATTACTGGCCACACGTAATTGGTCATATTCTGTACGATTATTGGCCATTTCCGACCGAAATTGGTTGGTTTTTTCGAACGGTTTTAAGCGGTTTTTTAGTAGTGCCTTGAGTTTGATTTATACATACGTATAAAAAAAATTGTATTATCATAATATTTTTACTATAGTATCTAATTTACCTTATTTTAAAGAATATAAATTTTATTTTATTTAGAAAATTTTACTTGTAGATGTCTTTTGAATAGTCATAAAAAAAATTAAATGCCTCTGCAAATAACATAGACTCTAATGCTTGATGCAAGCTGGGCGTTCAGGATAATCTGCTGGCCACAGCTCATATAAAATCAGTTGGTGATTCCGTTCGCCCTCCACTTCTCTAGGGATTTTGTCTGCCATCTCTTGACTAATTTAGAGATCGACAACAAGCTATCTAACAGCTAATTGTTATCTTAAGGATCTTTCATGGTTTGACCATGAAACAAAAGGGGATAAAGAAAATAAACATATACTAACAATATAGAGGGCAAAAATCCTTACCTGCACTCCAGTTCACAACAAAGATTTAAAATTAGGTTTTTTAAAAAAAGAGAAAAGAATAAACCTAATTCACCTAAAGATATTTTAACTTGGTTTGATGCACGTATACGGATTAATTTTTCTCACACGACATAGTGTATGATATGTTAGATAGCTCAAAATTTTAGGGTCCTTTTGCACCGTAAAGTTTATTTTATGTTATCTTGAGGCACATTACGCGTAAAGTTTTGTTCTTAATTTCGTTGGCGACCCTATCTACGTTTCTATTATGATCCAAAAACATGCTTATTCTTTAGACGTGGAGTACTATTGTTTATCTGTAACTCGGTACAGTTAAATTTATACGTGGTTTATAGACAAGTGAATTACTTCTTTGAATCCGTCCCTTTCAGCACTGGTGGTAAACCCGAAATTTGATCCAATCGGGCATTTATTTCTCTCATAAACTGCATATGTTCGATTTTAAAGGGATCATTCTCATTGTTGTTACCCGGTCCACCATTGTTCCCCCGGCCTTGTCAAAGCCGACTTCGCCCCTCGAGGTGTTGTTATCGACCCTCTGCGTTGTTTGATTTGCATGAGCACTAGGAGAAACTGCACCTTGTACATTCGTATTGTTGGAAATACCCGACAACGCCTGTTTTAATTCCATCATAACCTGATCTTGCCGCGAGAGATGACCCATAATGGCCCTTTGTTGTTCACTCAGGGTCCTTACTGCTTACTGCTTCAACGACGTGCTCATCTTCAGCATCGTCAGGGGTACCCTCTCGAACATGTCGTAGATATTGCCCGCCGTGAACTAGCGTGGCCTCGTTCCCTCCATTGCAGGTATCATTGATGCAATCTTCGTGCTAAGGCTGATTTCCTTGGACCTCAACGTTGTGTGTGGTGTTGACGCTGTTATCTGCCATTTTTAATAATTTTTGCTAAGAACAAAGAATCAAACAAGTTAGTATAGTTGAAGGGATCAATTCAATTACACAACTGTCTGTGTCCCACGGTGGGCGCCAAACTGTTTATCCGTAAATCGGTACAGTTTAATTTATACGTGGTTTATAGATAAGTGAATTAATTTAATCATAAGATGATAAATGAATTAGACAAAAATATAAGACTTAGCCTTGAAATTGAAATAAAATGGCAGATGTCTTAATCCCAAGCGCAGAGCTACCGGAGGTAGTAAGAACAATATAAATACGCAAGAAAATAAAATATTATTGAGCTTTTGATAGAATATAATGTATGGTTGTCAGAATATTCGTCCCCTTATAATGATGGTAGAGGTCACTATTTATAGTTACACCTAGGGAACAAGGTCCTAGGATCAAGCCCCTCCTAAATGACAATTATGAAGGCGATTGAAGATTGTGTAACGGTGGTCATTGAATGTCATATTCTTTATAACGGGGCATGCGTTTAATGCTATAGAATATTTTTCATTGAATGCTACTGGGTGGCAGACATTTATTTTGTCTTTATCAATATCTTTCTCTCTGATGATAAGCGAGATCATTGCCTCCCGACTGTCTCCTGTCTTCGGCTCCACGCGTCGCTTTCTCATGCGATAATTAAATATGAACATATTTTACCCAATACAGATAGTTCTCCTACTTTCCGGTGGCATAACTTTGTGTCACCGGGAAGTTGGTGGAGATACCTTTTTTGGCGGAAAATTCTCTGATCCTCTCTGAAAAGTTTCGGACGGTTGATTAGACGCACGTCTCTCCGCATTTAATACTCGCACACGAGTCACCCTACGATTTAGCATCACTTTTCCCGGTTATCGATGTAATTATAGCAACGATTTTAGCCGCATATTCCTTTGCTTATACGCATCAAACTTCTTCATTCACACTTCATAATTCTCCAAATTTTCTCAACTCGCACTTTGTCTTCAACTTTTCTTTAACCTTCTTCTTCAAAGAGACCCTTTCTTCCTTTCTGATAAAAATGGCTTCTTTCTTCCAGAAACCCTAGCTCCTCAAAAGATAAAGGTAAAGCTGATGATTCTGCTCCTCCTACGGTGAGCACCATCATCCCAAGAAGTCTTATCACAACAAAAGTCTTCGAAGAGAAGTATCCTTCCGCTAACCCTCGTACGTGGGTCGTTGGAGTGTACCCTTCTTCCATTCATCCTTCCAGCATTCCTGATGTGAAGGAAGACTGCCATTGCCATGATTTAGATATTATCGCTCCTGATCTGGCGGAGCGGATAACCTTACCCAACAAGGGTTTTACGTATATTTATATGTATCCTTTCACTTTGGGACCATTCTCTTTGAGCGGGGAGCTTGATTCCGTTATTGTGGAGTTCTGCATCCGCTACCAGGTATGCCTAGCATAAGTAAGTCCTTATGTGTGGAGGACAGACGCTTGTCTTCGACGTCTATGCTAGGAGACGGGAGAGGAGCTAACCCTAGCTTGATTAATGAACCTTTATTCCCCCAATATCTTTCGTGGGGGAATGATAAATTTCAGCAAACATGGCTACCATGCCCTACTAGCCAGCATGGATAATGACAACGATTGTGGATCGATGGAATGGTTCGTTGCAGTTACCACCAGGGATATCATTCCAGCCATGACTTCATCCTTTCCGAAATTATGGAACCGTACGCGTAAGTTCATCGCTTGTTTATTCTTTTAGTTAAATATCATCCCATGTTGTTATAGATTATTCTTCTTTCACTTGTTTCAGCGACTTGGTGGGTTCCACCAAGGATCGAAGGCTTGGACCAGTGAGTCCAAAATATTTTGGATGTTACTACGCCCGAGACCCGTACGTGGAAAGAACTAGCCCTTAAATATGGGTGGAAGGCCAAAAATCATGGTAGGTTAGACTTATCTTGTTTTTCCCTTTCGTATAAGAAAAACAGATTAACCTTTTTCCTCTTGTTGAATTCAGGTCTACCCCATGGCTCATTTGTCATCCTTGAGGCGGACATTTTGGCTAATCCTACTGATGCGGCGTGGCTGCTGTAGGAGGATTTTACCCGAACAAGTGTCTCCAGGCCTGTTTCTGGTGCAAGTGCTTTTTCTTTGAGTCCCCGGTCGGAGAACAAGCAACCAAAAAGAAGACGTCCCTCCTTGGCCAGGGGAAAAAATGAAAAGGCAAAGAATGTCATCACTGGAAGTTGTGGTGATGAGCCCCGTACCCAGCCGACCATAAACACCGTGGTTATCGACGATAAAGGAGAAGTCAACGAAGATGGGGCTTCTCTATATAGAAGACGACGACCTTTCTCGGCTCAACAAAATGCTCAATTTGTTGAGTCAGTTACACCAACCAGGACGATGCCTTGGCCCTATAGGGGAAGTTTGATATGGTCGAAAATGCCAACTTCCATTTCTGAGTCCCGGTCACTGCGCCCGGTACTATGAGGCTGAGTATTGGGTCCCTACCGTCTTCAGTTGATGAGCAATCAATAACCAGCACTGCATTTACCGTAGTTGCTTCGCCATCATCTTCACCTCATTCTTTACCAACTCTGCCTTCACCACCAGCAACTGCTACATCATCTCCACCGGCCACGGTTGCCCGAGAGGATGATGTCCCTCTTCTCCAATCCCCAATTCATGGGAGCCTGGTGGCAAAAATATGTTGCCCCCTCAGAAGATCCTTAAAGGAGGAGGATCGTTACTCTCTCGGTTTCTACCGGATGACATCTGTTGTCCCCGCCGGAGGAACTTGCAAACTATCTGAAGCCTTCGGCTTTAGAAAAAGATAGGAAAAAATTGCAAACTCTATCGGGAGAGTGTTTGTTGAAAAATTCCATGCACAACGCAGCGGTAGTACAATCTTTATTTCCTTTGTTTCTTCTATCATTTTTATGGCATGGTTCTGAATTTGAATTTTTTGTTTTGCATGCCAAATTTCTTACTTCCTAAGGCCTTAAAAGGCTGTTTCGTGATAAGGAGGCACTTACCTCTGAGCGAGATTAACTTTTGGCCGAGCGAGACCAAACTGCTACTCGCCTCTCAAACCTGGAAGCAAGAACTGTTCAAGTTGTTAAGCTGGAGGATCGGTTGCAGCAAAGTGAGCAAGAAGTGGTAATCCTTAGTCAGGAGGTCACTTCGTTAAGGGTACAATTTGAAGAAACTAAGGCCAAATGGTTTGAAGTCCATAATGTCGTTCTTGCTGTATCCGATCGTGAGGCTGCCTCTGCTGAAAGATTGTGGAATTTGGAGGCAACCTTAAACTCCAAAGTTGAAGAGCTTACTACTGCCAAGGCGAAGTATGCCCGGTTGGAGGAGAAGCATAAGAGGACCATCGAGCACAATATAGTTTTCAGCTCCACTATCTGTGAGCTTGATGTCAGCCTCCGATCCACCAAATTCGCGCAGGATAACTTTTCTACCAAGGTCGACCAACTTAAAGAAAAACTCTAATGCCGAACGGCTTCCCTTGTTGTTGAAAAAACATATTCTATATGAGGAGAAAAAACTTGGAAGAGGCCAAAACGGGTGTCATTGACTTTGATGGCGAAATCGCTATGGCTCATGAGCTGGAGTTAACCGCAAAAGTGGGTCTTTCGATCCAGCCTAATGCTACCGATTCTTCTGGTTCTGGTTCTGAGTTCTCAGGAACTGAAGAAAAAACAGAAGGTAGCAATGTTTAAGGCCAAAATGATGAAGGCCAAGATATCGAACCGGCAACGGATCTACCCACCTCTCCTGGGGGCGCAAATGCTTCTTTTCCTTCGAGTCCTGGAGATACAACAACTTAGTTTTTTCTTCTTTTTTTATACACTTTTGTAATTGTGTTGTTTGGCAAATTTATTGTGAATAAAAGTATCTTTTTTTCAAGTGTCATGCAAGCATTTCTCTTTGTGCCCTTTTCGTTTAAGTATTCGTGCAAGTTTTGCTCTTTTGCGTTTGTTTTCGTTTAAGTGTTTGCGCAAGTTTTGTTCTTTGCGTCTTTTTTCATTTAAGTATTTGTGCAAGTTTTTTTCTTTGCATCTTTTTTTGCTTAAGTATTCTCGTAGTTTTCCGCGCCGAGATACACGAGGCTTTGGGTATATTTTTCCCCTGTAGTATTTGGATCACGGGCATTAGTTTTTCCAAAATCAACCTTTTAACGTGAGGTTTTTTAAAGTATTTGGATTCCGGGCACAAATTCTTCCAAAATCATCCCATTAACGTGAGGGTTTTATAAGTGATGTTCCTATTATGTTTACGGTTCTATTGAAGATGACATCTCATATTCATTACAGCACTAGCATTTGAAGTACTTGTTTAACTTTCAAATGATAAAATCAATTCATCGTTCAGAAAAGAAACAAGGTAGAAATAAAAGGGCTTTACTTTATTCCTTCCATTTTCAAAAGTACGTAAGCATTCATTGTGCTAAAAAGATATTGCAATTTCTTGTGGCTAACTTGTACAACTTGTTTCTACGAGGATGGTCGCGTAGTCCCCAGTCCCCATGATATAATTATGTTTCCGGGTTTCGTATTCCTGTCGATGAGGCAATCAATTCATGTCGCTTGTACAACTTGTTTCTACGGGGTTAGTCGCATAGTCCTCGGTCCCGATATGTTTCTGGGTTTCGTATTTCGGTCGATGTGGCAGTTAATTCATGTCGTATCCTCATATCATTCCCCCTAGTGTTCGAATGCGAAGAAGGTAAATTTGAACAGTGTAAGGTTTGCACCTTTGAGAATTCCACTAGTGAATTGCTAGATAATCTTCAGTTCGATAACAAACTTTAATTCCCCTTAGGAATTTATGTTATCGAACCAAAGATTATCTAACAATCCGCCAGTGGCTTGAACTTGTGAACAGTCGGGTAATCTATGTTTGATAGCAAACTTAACTTCCCGGTAAGAACTTTGCTATCGAGCAAAAGACTATCTAATCGCTCTGCAATGGTTCTTTGCTTGTGTGCCTTATCATTTAAAGGTCTTATTGCTTCTGCTGAAGATTCCTTTGTAGTATACTTTCCGTTGCTACCTCGTTAAAAACCTTGCCAGAAAACCCAATTGGGACAAAAACTGGACGAAGGAAAAAAGAGTCCAGCACATACTTTCAGTATAGGTGATGTTTATCAGCAATAGTATCTCTTGAGATTTGCCACGTTCCAGTTGCTTGGCAACTTTTCTCCATCTTGATTTTCTAATATATATGACCCTTTCCCGGTGACAGTTGAAACCCGGTAAGGGCCTTCCCATGTTGGACCTAGCTTCCCTGCATTGAGCTCCCGGGTGTTCTGAGTTACTTTCCTTAAAACCAAGTTTCCTACTTTGAAATAACAGAGGTTGGCTCTTCGATTGTAATATCTCTCTATTCTCTGTTTTGGGCTGCCATCCTTATATGCGCCAAGTCCCTGTGTTCATCGAGCAGTTCCAAATTGACTAATATTGCTTCATTGTTTGCTTCTTCGTTTGCCCGAAAATACCTCAGGGTAGGTTCTCCTACTTCCACAGGGATCAGGGCTTATGCCCCATAGACGAGTTAGAAAGGTGTCTCCCTCGTGCTCGATTTGGCCGTTGTTCGGTACGCCCATAGTACACCTGGTAGCTCTTCGGGCCATTTACCTTTAGCTCCTTCTAATCTCTTTTTGAGATTTTGTATAATCACTTTGTTTGTTGATTCTGCTTGACCGTTTGCGCTCGTATGATAGGGTGAAGAAGTGATCCTCTTGATTTTTAAGTCTTCAAGGAACTTTGTGACCTTTGCACCTATAAATTGCGGTCTGTTCTCACAGGCTATCTCTTTTGGTATCCCAAATCTTCAAATTATGTTCTCTCACAAGAAATCTACTACTTCACGTTCGCCGATCTTCTGATAAGGACCTGCTTCAACCCACTTAGCAAAACATAGTCAGTTAAAATCAAAAGAAATCTTACCTTACCGAGGGCCGGTGGTAGTGGTCCGACGATATCCATTCCCCACTTCATGAACGACCATGGTGACAAAACTTAGTGCAATGGCTCTGCCGGTTGATGTACCAACGATGCGTAGCATTGACATTTATCACATTTTTGAACAAAAGCTTTGGCGTCTTGTTCCATCTGGGGCTAGTAGTATCTTGCCCTAATTAATTTTAATACTAAGTAATTTGCGCCTGAATGATTTTCGCAGATCTCTTCGTGGACTTCTCGCATAACGTAATTAGCTTCGGAGGTTCCCAAACATTGGGACAACGGGCCTTGGAAAGATCTTCTATATAATTGAACCCCTTGAAGTTGTATCGAGCTGCTCTAGTGCGCAGTGCCTGAGATGCCTTCGGATCTTCAGGCAATTTCCCGTGCTCGAGATAGTCAATAATCTCGTTTCTCCAATCCCAGACCAAATTAGTCGCGTTTACCTCGTAATAGCTATCCGCGTCTAATACTGAATGCATAAGTTGTACTATCGTACCAGAATCCAATCCATTCATCTCTTTGGACGATCAAAGGTTAGCTAGTGCATCTTCTTCTGCATTCTCTTCCCTCAGGATATGCGTAATTGACCACTCCCGGAACCGAGTAAGCAGAGCTTGGACCTTCATTACATAATGTTGCATGTGTGTCCTCTTTGGCTTCGAAAATCCCGTAGATCTGATTTACCACTAAATAGGAGTCACACTTGATTTCTATGACCTCGGAGTAGTCCCCGGGCCAATTCGAGCCCTGCAATCAAAGCTTCGTACTCCGCTTCATTGTTAGTTAGAGGCACAGTTCTTATGGTCTGCCTTAGGATTTCTCCCGAAGACGTGGTTAACACTATATCAAGCCCAGACCCTTTCATATTGGAAGCTCCGTCAGTGAACAAGGTCCAAATGCTTGATGTCGATTCCAAAACCATTACTTCTTCTTTGGTAGCCATAGGTAAAGGTCCAGGACTGAAATCAGCCACAAAGTCGAAAACAATTTGCAACTTAATTGCAGTCTTGAGTTTATATTCTATGTCAAATTCGCTCATTTTGATAGCCCACTTGGCCAACCTACCTGAGAGTTCAGGTTTATGAAGAATATTCTGTAGGGGAAAAGTGGTCACCACAACTATCAGGTGACATTAGGAATAAGGTCTTAACTTTCGAGTGGTGACTACGAGGGCTAAAGCCAATTTTTCTAGATGCGGGTAGCGAGTTTCTGCTCCCATCAAAATTTTACTTACATAATAAATAGGAGATTGTGTACCTTCATCCGCGCAGACTAAAATAACACTTACCTTTACCTCTAAGACCGGTAAGCAGGTCAATAGTTGTTCGCCTTCCTCCGATTTTGACAGTAACGTAGGACTTGACAAATACCTTTTCAGATCCTTCAAAGTCTATTGGCATTCCGGTGTCCACTCAAAGTTATTCTTTTTTTTGAGAAGTGTGAATAAATGATGGCATTTTTCCGAAGATCGGGAAATGAATCTTCTCAATGTGGCTAGTCTCCTTGTTAGCCTTTGAACCTATTTTACGCTCGATAGCTGATCTGGGATGTCTTTGATGGCTTTGATTTTATGGGGGTTAACCTTGATCCCCTTTTGCGACACGAGGAATCCCAAAAACGTACCGTAGCAGACCCTGAATGCACACTTCTCGAGGTTAAGCTTCATATTGTGTTTCCTTAGGATGTCAAAGGTATCTTGCAGGTGTTTCAGATGGTCACCTGTGTTCAAAGACTTCACCAACATATCATCTATGTAAACTTCCATAGTTTTCCCTATTTGCTTCTCAAACATTTTGTTTACGCGCCGTTGATAAGTGGATCTGACATTCTTTAGCCCGAAAGGCATCACCTTGTAACAATATGTGCCAAAGTTCGTTATGAACGAAGTTTTTCCTGATTCTCCGCACTCATCTAGATTTGGTTGTACCCGAAGTAAGCATCGAGGGAACTTATCAAGCCGTGCTCGGTCGTCGCATCAATCATTTGGGCATGCCTTATTTAAATACTTATAGTCTACGCACATACGAAACTTATTATTCTTATTTGGAATTAATACTATGTTAGCTAGCCAGTCATGATACTTTACCTCTCCGATTGAACCGAAATCAAGCAAGCGAGTTACCTTTTGTTTGAAATATTTATTTCTGACCTCGGCAATAGGACATTTTTTCTCTCTTACCGGAGGGATGCTGGGGTCCAGGCTTAGCTTGTGCACGACCACTTTTTGTGGGATACCTATCATATCCGCATGCGACTACGCAAAAAAATCGACATTAAATTTAAGAAATTCTATAACTCCAAACCTGAGTTTGGGGTGAAGTCCAGCCCCCAAGAGGAACTTTCTCTCCAAGAATTGTTGTGGATTTTGTAGCATCCGTCTCTACTGGTACCTCGAAATATCTTGGTACCTGATAGGATTCGGACAACTCTTCCCCCTGGTTGACTTCGCTCAGCTCATGAGCACGCGCCCATTCCTGTAATTATTAGGCTGCATGCTCCTTCCTGGGTCCACCAGAACATATTTAAATTTTAAAATCTATGACATTAAGAGAGATTACCAGCGCGTCGGTATGCGGTAGCAGCAGTCTGTCTGTGTCTTCCTCCGTGAAAGTAATGTCGTCCTCGGTGACTTCCCAGAGTCTCTTGTTGTGTGTTTCCGACACCTTTGTCTTTTTGCCGCCGAAAATGTCACATCATTAATCTCGTCCNGCACGGAGAAACAAAAAGGATGACAAACCTTTAATTTGAACTTTGAACTTGCTGCTATGAAGGAGAATGGAGTTATATTTGTATTTTTTTTTAAAATTAAATATTCGTTGCTTTTGGGAGATATTAGCAGACTAGCGGACAAGATAAAGAATTGGAAAAGACCATGAATTGGGGCTTCAATCAATAAAAAA